CTCCACCGGCTTGATCAATTGTTGCTCCTTGTGACATTGTGTTTTTCTGCTAATTTCTTTTGGCGTTTGGAAATCCCTTAATGGTGGCACTGCGTCTTTTAGTTTATTTTTGTTTGTATGGTTTGTTTTTGTAATTTTATTGTTGTAGTTTTAGGGCTTAATGAAAAGGGTAAAAAGAAAAACAGCAAGTGTTTGGTTGGTTTGTTGAATCTGTTAATTAAATTAAATATTATAACAAATGTTTATTTTTCTTTATATTATTTTACTTTTTAGGCGCCCGTTTTGCTAATTAAAAACGTGGTAGGTATTAAAGGATTTGTTGTTGTCAATATGTAAATGTTAAATAAACAACAATAAAATATTTTTTATTACACCAAATATTATTATCAGGCTAGATATATAAAAGGCAGAGGAGAAAATACAGCGTGAACACTTTTTCTAGTAATAAAAAAACACAATAATAATAATTAACACAAAAACACGCCAGTTTTTTTTTGTAGTTTGTGGTAATTGAGCAAATGAATTTACAAGATATTTTCTACTTTTGTTAAAGACAAACGTTTTTCTAATGAAAAATTGTCCTGTTGCAATTTTTTTAATAACCACAATTTTACTAACTTATTTTTGGGTTGATTTTAGCCAAATCAAAAGAAAATCAAAGCCGCTGATTTCAAGGTCGTTGCACTTAATTTTTTTCTATACTTTGCTTTCACAATAATTGTAAATTTTGTCAACAAAAACTACAAATTTTCATTTTTAATATTTTATATCTAGTGTGTATTAATATTTGTTTTATTTACTTTTCAATTTTTTATAATTTATTTTTATTTGTTAAAAAATCTTCCCAACAAAAACATCCGCAAAGTCTGAAATCCAATAAGAAACTAATTTGATTTTTTTTCTTGCAGTTGTCAAAAAGTTTTTTTTTTATTTTAATAGAGACACCTTGTTTACAACACAGGCTGCTTGATAAAAAGTCTCTTTATTGCAAGGAGACAGGGTGTTATGAAAAATGCAAAATTATTATTAAAATTAGTGTTGTATTTACAACTTGTAAAATATAAAATAAAATAAGGGTGAATAACAAAAAGTACAGAATACTTTTAGGGTTGTAAACAAATAACTAAAAAAGCACAGCATACTTTTAGGGTTGTTAAATTTCAATGACCTTGAAAAATATGGTATTTCGTGGTGAATTTATTTTTTTATTCACCACGATTTTATTCTCACCTCTATTTTATTCACCACACTTTTTTAAATTCACCACACATTTTCACCACACCACAAAAAAATAAGAAGGTGGTGGGGTGGGTGTGGTGACTGACTGTGTGGGTGGTGCGGGTGTGGTGTGTTTTTTATTTTTTTGTTTTTTTTTTATTTTTTTTTTCTTCGTTTTTTTGTTTTTTTTTTATTAAAAATTTTTTTTCTTTCCGTCCCGTCCGTCTTTTTTTTCTTGTTTTTTATTTTTTTCCGTGTGTGTGTGTGTGTGTGTGGTGGATGATTTTTTTCCAATTAGCCACCTTGTTCGGTCGTTCTATTTATTCGAAACTTAAACGAAAAAAGAATATGGGAATTATGAAAAAACTAAAAAAAAAACGAAAAAAAACGCCGTTAATTTTTTTGTCGCCACCGTTCTCTCTATGGCGCCGCAACGTTGCCAAGCCGCCACTGATAAACCAACGGCGTTATCTTAAAATATTATGACGCCGTTCTAACCAACTACAGAGTTGTATTTACGATTACATAAAGGTAGCAATAAAATAGTACGAAATTTAGCAACAATGGTCGCTAATGGCTAGCCAAATACAAAATGGTTGCCAGTTCGTGCGCGAAGGAAAAAATTTGTTAGCTCTTTGTTTGTGAAAGAAAAATTAGCAAAAAACCATTAAAAAATTTATAAAAATTAACTTAAAACAATAACTAAGACAAGTGCCAAGTGTATAAATAGTTATTTAATGAAAAACATGCAAAAAACAACAAGAAATTGATAAATTTCTGAAAAGTTACAAACGAAATATGAAATTCATCAAGCTGAAAGAAAAAAAAGTCATTAAAAAAGAATGAGTGAGTGTGTATGAGGCAAAAAAAAAAGAAAAGGAATGAAAAAATATTGTATATGCAAAAAAATATGAAGTGAAGAAAAAAATTAGTGATAAAATTATATTTTCTTTGCTTAAATTGTACAAAAAAGTAAGAAAAATAATAATATACAAGAAAAATAAAAGAGAAAAAAAATGTTGGAAGAAAGTATTTGTTGTAACACACAACAGTGCAAAATAAATTTAAAGAAAATAAATTAAATCTAAAAGATTTTCTTTATTAGTTTTTAAGAGGTGAGAAAAAAATTATAATGTAAAAAAAATTAAGAGGCGCTTAAAAAAATTAAAATGCACACATACAGACAGACACATGGGTTTTTTTCACGAAAGAAATATTTATATAAATACAGATGTATGTATGTGCAGATGTATGTACTACTTTTGTACATATATTGTTTGTATGTAAAAAATAACGTTTAAGTGCTTAAAACATAAACCTACAACAACAAAACGTTAATAATGAAGAAAAAATACTAAAACGTCATAATGACGATGATGATGAAGAAGGAATAATGTTTTTTTTTTTTTTGTATGGTGTTTGTTGTAGTTCTCTGTGTCTGTCGTTTGTTGAGTCCTCGTTTTGTTGTAAGTGAAAAATCCGGAAAAAGACACAACTTCGTTTTACAACAACAGCAACTACTGCAAAGAATAAAGAGTAAAAAAAGGAAGACGAAATCTTTGCTGTTGTTGTATGCTAAGAAGAAAACCGAGAATCATCATTAAATAACAACAACAATAGCAGCAGCAGCAACAACACTATGTTTATTGTAGTTGTTATTGTTGTTGTAGTGTAATGTAGTGTAGAGATTGTGGAAGTAAAAATAACTGGCTAAAAAGCTTTTTCTCTTGCCGATGATGTGTTTTTATTGTTGTTGTTGCTGTTGTATTATTTTCTTCATCTTCATTTACTAACCAGAGAGTTGGGCTTTGTTTGTGTAACTGCTGCTGCTGTTTTATGCCTTTTTTTAAATGAGAAAAAAGTAGTAAAAATAAAACAATGAATGTCTTTTACTAAAAACAACTAAAAGTTTATTAAAAAATATAGCACAAGAACAAAAGCAAAACAATTTAGTTGTTTTTTCTTAATAAAAAAGCAAATAAAACCAACAAAATATAAAAATAGGAAAAGATTGTTGTAAAAATTGAATACAATGAATCCTGTTTTTTTGGATGTGCACTATTCTGAATAATAATGAATGTGCAACGCTTCCATCCATCCATCATTTATTTAGTTTTTTTTTTGCCTATTGTCGACGTTTTCGGTACTCAAACCAAAATTAACCACCCTCTTTGTGTATTGTTGTTGTTATTTTTGTAATTTTTCATTTTCAGTACACGGCACCGAGTAGAGCAGTAGAGGAAGAAGCAAAAGACCCGTGCAATGGTTTTAGATGTTAGGTTGGTTGGTGGTGGTGAAGGTAACGATCAAAACGACCATCATTTCTGTTCAGACATACAACATACGTCACACGTTTGGTTAGTTCGTTTGCTATTCGGTCGTTGTGTCGGTCGTTTGCCTGTTTCTTCTCTGTTTCTTGTTTTTCTCTACCGAAAAATCAGCAACAGCAACAACAACAACTACGCTAATGATTATGATGTGTTTGGCTGTCATTGTTGTTGTTGATGAATAAATAAATGAATGAAATGGCAGAAAATCATTCTCAACCCGTATTAATTTGTTAAACAAGACATTTTTAATGTTTTTTTTTTGTTGCTTTTTCTATCAATTTGAATTTTCATCGGATAATTTTCACAGCGAGCAGAGTAATTAAAGAATTTAATCTTTTAATAAGTTTATTCGTCATATTATTACCCTTAATCTCTTAAATACTAATTTAGTATAATAAAAATGATAAAATAATATGTGATAATTTTGAAGTGTATTAAAACTAATCCAAATTTTAAATTAGTATATAAAGTCGACAAGTTTTCACTATTTTAAATTTAGAAAAAAAAAAAATGAAAAATTAAATTATTGATTTAATATCTTTTAAATGATATAATTAAGGTATTAAAAACATATTGTTATGGTGATTTTCTTCGAAATAATAAAAATAAAATTTGGAAGATATCTTCTAAATGTTTGTAGGGATTTCATAAATATTAGAACTTGTGTGTCTTATTCTGGAAATAATTACATACATATGTATTTTATCACATTAGGTCATCGTATTCCTTATATATTTAAAATAGTAAATGAAATTTTAACTAACTCCATTATCTAAAATCCAAAAATCAAGGTCCTACACATTTGCAAGATGCTCCCTTTCAACAGCATATTTTTACATACTGTTAATGGCAATCAGTACATGCCTTGTGCTCGGATTATCAAGTCATACATCGGCATCAAATGCTTAAACCCTCCCAGAAACCGCTGTCGTTATCTTGTTGTTCAAGATAGATTTTGATCTAGAATTGAAATAGACATAGAACTGAACTAGAACTGAACTAGAACTGAACTAGAACTGAACTAGAACTGAACTAGAACTGAACTAGAACTGAACTAGAACTGAACTAGAACTGAACTAGAACTGAACTAGAACAGAACTAGAACAGAACTAGAACTGAACTAGAACTGAACTAGAACTGAACTAGAACTGAACTAGAACTGAACTAGAACTGAACTAGAACTGAACTAGAACTGAACTAAAACTGAACTAGAACTGAACTAGAACTGAACTAGAACTGAACTAGAACTGAACTAGAACTGAACTAGAACTGAACTAGGACTGAACTAGAACTGAACTAGAACTGAACTAGAACTGAACTAGAACTGAACTAGAACTGAACTAGAACTGAACTAGAACTGAACTAGAACTGAACTAGAACTGAACTAAACTGAACTAGAACTGAACTAGAACTGAACTAGAACTGAACTAGAACTGAACTAGAACTGAACTAGAACTGAACTAGAACTGAACTAGAACTGAACTAGAACTGAACTAGAACTGAACTAGAACTGAACTATAACTGAACTATAACTGAACTAGAACTGAACTAGAACTGAACTAGAACTGAACTAGAACTGAACTGAACTAGAACTGAACTAGAACTGAACTAGAACTGAACTAGAACTGAACTAGAACTGAACTAGAACTAACTAGAACTGAACTAGAACTGATCTAGAACTGAACTAGAACTGAACTAGAACTGAACTAGAACTGAAATAGAACTGAAATAGAACTGAAATAGAACTGAAAGAGAACTGAAATAGAACTGAAATAGAACTGAAATAGAACTGAAATAGAACTGAAGTAGAACTGAGCTGGAACTAGATCTGAACTAGAACTGAATTATATAAATATGATTTGAACTTTGTATCTTAATATGTATTTGACATTATGTATTTGAGTATTTTGAAATAGAACTGAACTAGAATTGAACTAGAACTGAAATAGAACTGAAGTAGAACTGAGGTGGAACTAGATCTGAACTAGAACTGAATTATATAAATATGATTTGAACTTTATATCTTAATATGTATTTGACATTATGTATTTGGATTTGAGCCAATATTTTGTATATAATTGGAACATTTATACATTGGAATATTTATAGATACATTGTTGCAAAAATTTATTATTGCTAAAAAATTTCCAAAATTTTGATTGACAACTCTTTTGTTCAAATTTAATTTGTTTAGGCAAGAAATGTACAAATTTGGCTTCAATATTTAAAAAAATAAATTAATTGCTTTTGAAAACAAAAGCAGAAACATTTTCTTTGTTTGAACAATTTCTTGGAGATTTTAACATACCTATTAGGAATGTGCTTATTTTAAAAATAAAAAACTAACGAGTAAATGTTAGAAATTTAAATTATTTTTAAAACTTAATTATTCTACAATTTTATCACTTTTTTACAAAATTATCTTCTTTGATTTGTCTTTATTATATACTTTAACATTTAATTTATATTCAAAAATATTGGACTTTATTACAATTTACAGAAGTTTAAAAAATTTCATTTTTTTTTTTTGCTAAATATAAATCTAACTTTGAACAAATATTTACTTGTTTAATTAAGTTAAATTATAAAAAAGTTCATAACAGTTTTCACAGAAGTTTGTTAATTTGAAAATAAACATATAAAAACACTCTTAACAAACTTTATACGATTATATACAGACATATCTATGTATGTGTGTATGAATGTATTACAGTATTTAACTTCGTTTACTTTATATGCTAAAGTCTATTTAATTAATAATATACTAATAAGCTACTTAATTTCAATTACCAATATTATCTTTCTAATCGATTTCCTTTTTTTTTCTTTTAGGTTAACTTAAAGCAACTTAGTTTTACTTAACAAGAAATAACAATAATATTTTCAATAATGGATAAATAAAAAGGAATTTAACACCACATTATCAACTTACAACTCAACAACGACGACCGAACGGCCACCTTTTTTAATATAAAGGTCGTGGTAGACGACATCAAGCAATAAACAACTATTATAGTACTATTGATGTCATCCATTTCACTTTTTAAGTGAGCAATTACAACACACTTTATATCCTTAAATTAACAAGAAGTTTACATCACTAACGGAATTGAGTTAATACCAATTACATACAATCTTCGCCCCGCTTAACTACTAATGACACATGAATAACAAACTAAAACGTTAAAATTTTAGTTTTTATTCTGCTAAATATAACAGAAAGGAAATAACACACATTCTACTAATAATCTACATTACAAGAGTTGGTTGTCTATATTGAATAAACATCAATATCACAACAACGTATTAAATTTTCTTCTACTATTTTGTATGGTAAGTTGAATTACTATATTTTTTCCTTACTTTCTTTCTTTTTTTTGTATTTTATTTTGTTCTTAACAAAAAAAAACTTTATTATATAATAATATTATGTATGTATGTTTTTTCTTTACTGTGTTTTGATAACAACTTCTTCTGTTTGCATAAGAGTTTTAAGCGATTATATAGTTATTAATTTTGTTTTTATATATTTTCTCTTTATAAAACTTACTTTTCTAATTAGCTGATTTAACTTTAGTTTTTTCGTTTATAATGTGATTACAGCAATTGTTGGTTTAATATTTGTTTAATTTTATTTGTTTGTTTTTGGAGTTATTATAATTAAGTTAAAACAAATTTGTTTAACAGAGTAGGAATGTTAAAGAAAAGTTTGCTAAAAGTGCATAAATTATATTTGTTAATAGTTTAGTACTTAATTAAAATAAAATTGTTAAAATCTTTACAGTAGAAACAATTACAAATCAAATTACTATCTAATTACTTCGACTAGAACTGAACTAGAACTGAATTTAACTTGAACTAGAACTGAATTTAACTTGAACTAGAACTGAACTAGAACTGAACTAGAACTGAACTAGAACTGAACTAGAACTGAACTAGAACTGAACTAGAACTGAACTAGAACTGAACTAGAACTGAACTAGAACTGAACTAGAACTGAACTAGAACTGAACTAGAACTGAACTAGAACTGAACTAGAACTGAACTAGAACTGAACTAGAACTGAACTAGAACTGAACTAAAACTGAACTAGAACTGAACTAGAACTGAACTAGAACTGAACTAGAACTGAACTAAACTGAACTAGAACTGAACTAGAACTGAACTAGAACTGAACTAGAACTGAACTGAACTGAACTAGAACTGAACTAGAACTGAACTAGAACTGAACTAGAACTGAACTAGAACTGAACTAGAACTGAACTAGAACTGAACTAGAACTGAACTAGAACTGAACTAGAACTGAACTAGAACTGAACTAGAACTGAAACTAGAACTGAACTAGAACTGAACTAGAACTGAACTAGAACTGAACTAGAACTGAACTAGAACTGAACTAGAACTGAACTAGAACTGAACTAGAACTGAACTAGAACTGAACTAGAACTGAACTAGAACTGAACTAGAACTGAACTAGAACTGAACTAGAACTGAACTAGAACTGAACTAGAACTGAACTAGAACTGAACTAGAACTGAACTAAACTGAACTAGAACTGAACTAGAACTGAACTAGAACTGAACTAGAACTGAACTAGAACTGAACTAGAACTGAACTAGAACTGAACTAGAACTGAACTAGAACTGAACTAGAACTGAACTAGAACTGAACTAGAACTGAACTAGAACTGAACTAGAACTGAACTAGAACTGAACTAGAACTGAACTAGAACTGAACTAGAACTGAACTAGAACTGAACTAGAACTGAACTGAACTGAACTAGAAAACTAGAACTGAACTAGAACTGAACTAGAACTGAACTAGAACTGAATTGAACTGAACTAGAACTGAACTAGAACTGAACTAGAACTGAACTAGAACTGAACTAGAACTGAACTAGAACTGAACTAGAACTGAACTAGAACTGAACTAGAACTGCACTAGAACTGAACTAGAACTGAACTAGAACTGAACTAGAACTGAACTAGAACTGAACTAGAACTGAACTAGAACTGAACTAGAACTGAACTAGAACTGAACTAGAACTGAACTAGAACTGAACTAGAACTGAACTAGAACTGAACTAGAACTGAACTAGAACTGAACTAGAACTGAACTAGAACTGAACTAGAACTGAACTAGAACTGAACTAGAACTGAACTAGAACTGAACTAGAACTGAACTAGAACTGAACTAGAACTGAACTAGAACTGAACTAGAACTGAACTAGAACTGAACTAGAACTGAACTAGAACTGAACTAGAACTGAACTAGAACTGAACTAGAACTGAACTAGAACTGAACTAGAACTGAACTAGAACTGAACTAGAACTGAACTAGAACTGAACTAGAACTGAACTAGAACTGAACTAGAACTGAACTAGAACTGAACTAGAACTGAACTAGAACTGAACTAGAACTGAACTAGAACTGAACTAGAAACTGAACTAGAACTGAACTAGAACTGAACTAGAACTGAACTAGAAAACTAAACTGAACTAGAACTGAACTAGAACTGAACTAGAACTGAACTAGAACTGAACTAGAACTGAACTAGAACTGAACTAGAACTGAACTAGAACTGAACTAGAACTGAACTAGAACTGAACTAGAACTGAACTAGAACTGAACTAGAACTGAACTAAACTGAACTAGAACTGAACTAGAACTGAACTAGAACTGAACTAGAACTGAACTAGAACTGAACTAGAACTGAACTAGAACTGAACTAGAACTGAACTAGAACTGAACTGAACTGAACTAGAACTGAACTAGAACTGAACTAGAACTGAACTAGAACTGAACTAGAACTGAACTAGAACTGAACTAGAACTGAACTAGAACTGAACTAGAACTGAACTAGAACTGAACTAGAACTGAACTAGAACTGAACTAGAACTGAACTAGAACTGAACTAGAACTGAACTAGAACTGAACTAGAACTGAACTAAACTGAACTAGAACTGAACTAGAACTGAACTAGAACTGAACTAGAACTGAACTAGAACTGAACTAGAACTGAACTAGAACTGAACTAGAACTGAACTAGAACTGAACTAGAACTGAACTAGAACTGAACTAGAACTGAACTAGAACTGAACTAGAACTGAACTAGAACTGAACTAGAACTGAACTAGAACTGAACTAGAACTGAACTAGAACTGAACTAGAACTGAACTAGAAAACTAGAACTGAACTAGAACTGAACTAGAACTGAACTAGAACTTAACTGAACTGAACTAGAACTGAACTGAACTAGAACTGAACTGAACTGAACTGAATTGAATTGAATAAGAATAAGAAACTGAATAAGAACTGAAAAATGTTCGAATTTTTAAATTCGAAATTGTACACAAATAAAACTAAAATTATATTTATGAATCTTGATATCTTAACAACCATAAACTACAAAAATAACGTTGAAACTAAAAAATTAACTTAATATTTGTTTGTATTATTATCTTAAAACAAAATGTTGATAACATATCAGTCTCCCTCTACCACTTCCACTTCAAACTGATTTATTTAACTAGAAATTAAAATTCAAGTAGCTAAATACTTGAGTTAATAAATGTTTGTTTTTTTTTAAACTTAAATTAAAATAAAAAATGAGTTAAAAGTTTATGTGTATAAATATTTTCAAAAATAGCTGCAATTTAATTTCAATAACAAGTTATAAACATGTTAAAAATAAAATTTATTTATAAAATTTTTCTAAAATATTCTTAAATTTTAATATTTATGAATTTGATTTAATCAATTAATTTATTTCATTTAAGTTTTCTTAATGATTTCAAAACGTCTCTTAATTGTTTTATTCAGCTGTTGAGAACATACTTTTTGCTATCTTATCTTGTAGTTAAATAAAATTGTGATTAACTTTTTTTATAAACTTCATATTTTTGTTACTTATTATAACATTTGTTTAACATTTATTGTGTTAATAAATTGTTATATATTTTGTTAAATTAAAAGCGGTATAGTTTAAAAAATATTGTTTAATAAATCTTATCAGTTTTTTAATATGATGGATGAATGACTATAAACAAAAGCAGTTATGAAATTTTTTTAATATTTTAAAGAAATTGGGAAATGTTACCAGAATTTTTAAAACTTTTTAATATAAAATTTAAACATTTTCGAGTTTTTCTTGTTTATAAATATATTTACTTTTTAATTACTATTTAATTAACTAAAAATCATTACATACACAACTAATATTCCACCCTTTGTAAATTTCAGTATTTTTTTTTTAAATTAAAACTAAACCTTTTTACACTTGATTTAATTTCCGAATATAAAAACATTTGATATAAAAAATATAGTTATAAACTATAAAATTACAAAACCATTAGATCTCTATTTAAAAAATAAAAACTACAAACTAATTTTAATAATAAATTTTTTGCTCTTGCAATTCCTATAAATCTCCTCTGTGTTTAGGGTTTTTTTATACATATTTTCCACATTATTTTTGTTTTCTACAAAGCTGACTGACTTAATTAATTTTTGCGGTTTAGATTTTATTTGCTATATGTAGTTGTTTCTATTTCAAAAGTTCCTAAATAGTAGGAAAATCCATTTCAACATCAAAAACTATTTATATACACAAAAACAATAAAATAATAAATCTAAAAAGTAAACACAACTAAATTTGTAAAATTTATACAGGGGAGAGATTTTGTTTTCGATAAGGAGCGAGAGAGAGAAAAAGTTAAAGGAATTAATTCTTAGTTTGAAAAATATAGATAATAACACTTAAAAAGTAGGAATTTGTGATTTGAAATCAAAATTTTTATTTATGACTAAGAATCGTACAAAGAAATTTTAAATCTGAAACATTTTTAAAATTCTTCAGAAATCATGAACATAATAAACTGAACTAGAACTGAACTAGACGAACTACTGAACTAGAACTGAACTAGAACTGAACTAGAACTGAACTAGAACTGAACTAGAACTGAACTAGAACTGAACTAGAACTGACTAGAACTGAACTAGAACTGAACTAGAACTGAACTAGAACTGAACTAGAACTGAACTAGAACTGAACTAGAACTGAACTAGAACTGAACTAGAACTGAACTAGAACTGAACTAGAACTGAACTAGAACTGAACTAAACTGAACTAGAAACTGAACTAGAACTGAACTAGAACTGAACTAGAACTGAACTAGAACTGAACTAGAACTGAACTAGAACTGAACTAGAACTGAACTAGAACTGAACTAGAACTGAACTAGAACTGAACTAGAACTGAACTAGAACTGAACTAGAACTGAACTAGAACTGAACTAGAACTGAACTAGAACTGAACTAGAACTGAACTAGAA